GTGCCCAAGCCAACGTAGACGGCGCTGTTTCAATAATGTATACATGCTGAAAATTCCAGCTCGTTCTAGGACTACTCTATTTGGAACGTTGTCCTGCCAGGTGATACCAAAAATGCGTCGGAGACAACGCATATGGAAGGTGTTCAGCTTCCTTTCCTGCCGTGCACAAAGGGTCCAGGACTCGCTGCAGTATAGGAGTGTGCTCAGGACACAGGCTCTATAGACCTGGATTTTGGTGTATGCTGTCAACTTCTTATTAAGCCATACTCTCTTTGTGAGTCTAGAGAACATGGTAGCTGCTTTCCCAATGCGTTTATCGAGCTCGACATCTAGGGAGAGAGTGTCAGAGATTGTTGAGCCAAGGTACACAAATTCATGAACAACCTCCAATTCTTGCATGGAGATAGTAATACAGGGAGGTGAGTCCACGCCCTGGCACATGACTTGTGTTTTCTTGAGGCTGATAGTTAGTCCAAAGTCTTGGCAGGCCTTGCTAAAACGATTTATGAGTTGTTGGAGGTCTTCAGCAGAGTGGGCAACAATGGCTGCCTCATCGGCAAAGAGGAAGTCCCACATGCATTTCAGTTGGACTTTGGTCTTTGCTCTTAATCTAGTGAGATTAAGGCCTTCGTATTGAGAAGGTATTTGCATATATTTATATTTTACATCAGCCCTCTTGCTCCTGCTCTGAGTAGCACCAGGTGCTATTCTGGTACAGGAATGGATTAGATTCCTTGCATCCTTTAGCCAACATGCATGCTGGAAGGGGTTCCAGTAGCTATAACACAAAAAAGGAATTTTTTCAAGCTCTAAGAAAGAACATAAATTCAATCTGATGAAATGTACCCCCTTACAAACCTCAGCTATGAAGGACAAAACAGAACCTCTAATCATCTCATTAGCATTTGCAAATGTTGGATTGATCTGTCTTCTGTTTGGGTGGGCAGTCCTCCATTTGAAGGCATTCTCCATTTGAAGGTCTGTCCAGTCTAGGAATCATATGGTGGGGGAATCACAGACTTGGAAACCACTCCCACACATGTAGGCATAAGACCAGCTGGTCACAGAACTTGTTGATACAGTGCTAAAATCATCATCATCACCCGCCCCCCTCCAGTGTTCTGAATGCACAGTCCAATATATTACTCGCGTTCATGGAATCTGGAAAGGAAAGAATTTGGGAGCAATGCAGTACAACAGTGGAGTTCACATTGGGGAAACAGAAATATATTACTGTACAGCAGTCTTGCATCCGAGTCAAAATAAACAGCCCTCTGGTGGGGAGTTAAAAAACAAAAACAGTTGCTCACAGAAACATAGGTCCTGGGGTGGGGAATCTTCCCACTCTGGTTCTGCACTTTAGTATGTGACCTTTTAAAACACTGTCTTATAACAAGCTGAACCTGATTCAAATCTCATTTTTCTTTGGTAATGGGACCACATCCTGAGATGCGTTGCAACTGTGGTCAAATTATGAAAATGATTTCTAATCTTGCATTTGCACAAATAAACAGTTTGAGGCAAATCAGGATCCTCTTTTGTCCTCTTTTTGGATAATGCAAGTCCTCCTTTTGAGTGAGCACAGTCATTAGTTTAATGTTGCAAGAAGACTTCATAGATGTGGGCTGTAAAGGGCGGTTTGCTGTCCCATGACAAGAGCTTATTTTTATTTCATGATCTGATATAAAAATAGGGTGGGTGTAGTCAGTCAGTAAGCACCAGGAAGGAAGTATGTCATGGTCCATGAGCAAGTTTAAATTGTTCCCTTATTATCTGTTTACCGTTCAGCTCAGTAATGGCAGAAGGATCGTCTGGGTTGAACCAGAGATGAAACTTTACTGCCAACGCCTTGCTAAGGAGGCACATGCTTTTCTTGTTTGCCACTGAGGCTGCTGTGTGATGTTGTCTTGCTTGGTGATGCTTGGAGTCTATGCCTTAGAACCCAGTATTAGAATGTTCATTCATACCATCTAAGAGTAAGCCAAAGTAGGCTTACCTTAGCCTTAGAGGTCCTTGTTACTGTCTATTGGTTCTTCTCACTTTAGTTCTGAGCCACTGATGCATAAGTACAGGATTCAGAGACGTTGTCAGTATCCACCACCTGTCTGGTCCTCAGAGAATTGTGGTTCAATACAGCATAGGACACTTCATCAGGTTCTGTTTTAGTATCAGGTTCTAGGGGCTAAGGGAAGAAAAGAGATAATTAAAAAAATATTTAATTTTTTTACTCCACCTTTTTCTTTAATAAAGGACCCAAGGTGGCTTACATCATTAAAAGACAATGATTTTTAAAAAATTGGTGGCTTACATCATTAAAAGACAATGTTTTTTAAAAAATAAAAACAGTAAATATACAAATACTAAAAAGGATTGAACAAGTGCCACGCTACAAGATGGTAAACAAAAGCAACACCAAAAACACATTCAAAGCAGGAAGGCACAACCCTCCATTTAAAAACTCCACTCAGGCAGCCACTGAGTGAGGGGGAAACGCTGCCTTTCTCTTAATGTCTTCATCTGCTTGTGGAAGGTCAGCAAAGAGGGGGGCAGCCTGGCCTCCTGTGGGGGGGGAGTCCCAAAATCTGGGAGCAGCCACAGAGAAGGCCTTCTCCCGTGTCCCCACCAAGCACATCTGTGAGGGTGGTGGGACTGAGAGAAAGGCCTCTCCTGATGGTCTTAACATCTGGGCAGGCTTATAAACAGAGAATTAGGAATGCAATCTTACCAGTACATTCTATGGTGAAAACAAATGAGAAGAAACTATGGTAGAGAGATTAAAGGACTTATTTATTTATTTATTTGCTTGTTTGTTTGTTTTGGTGGCGTGTTTGCTTGTTTGCTTGTTTGTTTGTTTTGGTGGTAGTTTCTGAACCAGAGCAAATTATATCTGGAGCTATCAATAGAGCACTTGAAGAATGGGAGTTGGCTCTCTACCCCTCCATCAAAGTAGGTCAGCAATGTCAGGGAGTCAGATCATATCTTCAGATTTCAGAATTGTAACAGAATCATGTTGTCGTGTGTGTGTGTGTGTGCGTGCCTTGGAAGCAGAGTCTTTATTCAAACAGCTTTCCACTTTAGACCTGAATCCTTAGCTTGTAGTACTCTCACCGCTGAGGTGTTTCTGTAGAGACGTGTTCCTGTCAGCAACCACTGGCTTAATGGCCAATAAGCAGCTTTAATTTAAAATCAGGAGCTCAGAAGATACTGTTCAAGCTGTGTCTTTTTCTATTTTTGTGGACAACTATCCCCAGTAAATGGATGAATGGAGGCTATCAGAGTGATATTAAAAGTCTAGGTTGAAAGACCAAGAAGACAGAATGTTAGCAGGACATATAATCATAACACATTTTGCTCACAGGAAAGTCTGTTACCGTGTTCATTGGCTGGGCATTTTTCATGAAAGTGGAACCTGTAGATCAGAGATAACAATGAGATTCCTTTCCTCATCTGTGCCAAAGCTGAACTATTGCTGCTGCTCCCCTCCTATATTGTTTTATATTATGATAATTCTTGATAGAAGTCCCTTGTTTTATATCTGTGAGGCTAAATCAAGTCCAACCCCCTGCTCAGTGCAGGAATGCAATCAAAGCATATCTGCCAGGTGATTATCTAAGTTTTTCATGAATATCTCCAGTGTTGGAGCACTCACCAACTCCTGAGGTAACTGGTTCCTCTGTCGTACTGTTCTAAATATTATCTTGTACTAAAAACAGTCTCCACCAAAATAACCCAAGTCATATACTGCGTCTCTTTAGGTTTTATAAAGTTATTTACATCTAAGTTGTTATAGCTGGGAGGAGGCAAAGAGCTACCTCTAGTCACTAGAAGGAGAATGAGTACCTTGACGTTATAAGCATTAAAGAGGATGTATCAAAATCCTTTATCAGTGGTGTTTGAGTGTCTGAGAATGCTTGGTACCCATTGGAAATGGCTGCCTGCTTGGGCTAAGATGAACTATAGGTTAATCTAAGGACCTATTAAGGATTAATAGGTTAATCTAAGGAGTTATTGCTCGTACATTCCTCCTTTCTCCCCCATTCTGCTCCTCTCTCAAGGAAGCCCTTGCCATTCCCTTCTGCTTCTTCAGTATTGTGGTCTTCTCCATTAATGGTGGTCTGGCCAGGATTTCTGTAGCATGTCACAGCAGAACAAAATGAGCGAACAAGGTCTCCTTGGGGCAATGGCTGATGCTCCTCTTCCTCCTCCCCTTTAACTTCTTTTGGTGGTGTGATGGAAAATGAGGGAGCCATGGTGAGCTATCTTGCAGCAGCAGCAGCTGTATCACCACCCCCTTTTCTGCAACCATCTGCCTCTGTTGAGCTAAAAATAGGGACTGACCTTAATCTGCTATTAATGCATAATTAATAATTAAGGATTCAAGAAATTCAATAGAAAGGATTAAGGAACATTTAAAGAGTGTTTCTTTTCTGATAAAACAAAACTTTGATCAGAGGGCATTCATTACCTATTAAAAATCTAACGTATTTGTATGGCCCCAGTTTGAATACTGTCTGCCCCATATATTACAGCTTCAGCCTCAGCATTGCAAAAATAACAGCCTAGAGGTCCACTTACTCTTTTTTCTTTTTCTGTGTAATGCAAAGGCAATTAAAAACAGAAGGAGAACCAGCAAGAGAAGGCCTGCGGCGATACTTGCCCATATGGCTATGGGTATTGTAGATTTATCTGTAAAACACATAAAAATCAGTGTTGGGATGTTACTGATGCTTTGATGCATTTGCACATGATTTCCAGAGCCATGCTTTGCTGGTTTAGCAACAAATTGCATGGCAAATGTAATTCTGGTTCCTCTTCCCCATTTCTGATCTGTTTCTGGTTTGGTTCTCTCCAACCTTTTCATCAGCTCCTGTTTCTAGACGGGCACCTGACTCTCATATTGCAGTATATGACGGTGAAGCCCCTTCATGAGAATCCTCTCAGATTCTTCCACAAATCCTATCAGCTACATCTCCATCCTTCGGTTCTCCACCTGTTCTGTTCAAGACATTTTTCCTTCAAACATACAGTATTTCCCTGTGGACAAGACCAGCTCCATCCATTTTGTTCCGAGGCAAAGGACCAGATGTTAGCCCACCACTAGCATCCCAAAAGCTGATGGAACTGGCAACTGAACCTTGTTTTGACAGGCAGCCTCCTCCTGTGGGCAGCAGGCCACACAACCCACCTACCTCTGCACTCACGCACCTCACCATTGCTGCTCATTTATTCATCATCCATCATCTCTTGCCCTAATGGACTCTCTCTCTCTCTCTTTGCCCACGTCCCATGGTGTTTTTTTTTTTTGCCAATAAGATGAATGCAGTGCAATACATTCATATATATATACTTAGGGATTTCATTGTGCACTACTATTCTTCCTTTACACAATTTAATTCCAGGGCTCAATTGCTTAGACCTGCTATAGCCTTGCTCAAGCATCAACACACCATATAAGTCCTACTACTCATATAACAGGCACAATTAAATAGTGAGCTATGTTTATTTTGAAAGCAAGTTTCTGATCCTGAAGTAAGTTCTAAGCAGTAAGAATGTAGTCAGAGAGTATGTCTGCTATAAATATATGCATCTGATAGATGTGCACTGGCTCACGTCTCTTGCCTGCAGCAGGAACATTTAAACAAAGCCTGGACCTTAGCATAATGTCCAAATCCATCAGGAGCCATTGCTCTGATCTGTTTCTCCCTCAACGAGCCTCAAAAGGACTCAAAAGGAGTCAAAAGGACCCTATGGCTCATTCTGAAGCACCATCTCCTACCAGTGTCCCTGGGTCTGTATATTCCCAGGACAGTGTTCTTCTTAGAGAACTGCAATCTGAAATCCTACTGCTGATGTTTTGCTCCCAACTCTTACTGCCCTCCACTTTTGCCTGTCTTCTGTCTTGTAACAGCTTCCAATACTCTCCTCCTTTCTCCACTTATTTCAGCCCACCCACCATCTGTCCATAGCACAGTCTTATTGTCACACTATCTAAAAACTTTCCAATTTTTACTGATCTCCTTATTTCATAGCATCACAATGTTATCCCATTGCTTTTAGTCCTCCCCCCTCATTTTTCTGCTTTTGTGTGGTGGCGGTTGATTAGTGTGGGAGACTTTCTTTGTGATCAATTGCCATCACTATTGGCACCTGTTTCTTTCCAAATAATATGTTTGAAATTCTGTTCTACAGCTATGTTTGCAAAACTTGAAGTTATAAACGTGCAGAGAAAATCACGCTAAAGTGGAGTTAGTATTGACAAAGCAGTTCTGGTGGTGCAACAGGCAATAGTCAGGATGAGTACAACGTGATCGATCGGGATGTGAACTGTGCAAACAATGTAATGATGACTGCCTGGGTGTAATGTCCTGCACTTCTCTGCAGGCATAACTTTATGTTAACCCAACTTCAACATGATCTATTCATGCATCTGCTCAGGTGTTGGCATGACTATTGAATGCTCTATGCTGTATCAGAAGTGTGGCAGTTAATATATGTTTAGTTTTTTTTTACTTCCATGAAAGAAATTGGATGAAGCTTTCCTTCAGAAGTTGCAAATCACATTTTCTCATTCCCTCCAGCACAAGAATGGAGGATATTTGCTTGCATCACCATCTCTGTGTTTTCACAGAACAAACCTCCATAGGAAGAGGGCATTACAAAAGCATTTGCCCATGTTCCTAAATAAATAAATAAATACATAACTGACACATTAGCCCTTCCATTATATAACACTTTTGCATGTTAGCCCAAGATAATCTGAAGGAAAAAAAAGGCAAAAATTTAAAAATGGGGGGGGGGGAAAGAGGGGAAGAAAAAAACAAAATGAAGCAACACTTGATATCCAGGTATTATTATAAATGGGGAAGTGTTCTGGCTCCTGGTAGATACCAAATGAATATGGAAATTGAAATGAAATAAAACAGAAGACGGAAACAGGAGAAGTATTGTTATATAGAAACCAACAGCTGGGAGTGGCGCTAAGCCACAGAAGGGGAAAAAGTGAGCAGTGAAACACACTCATAGGGAAATATCACCTCATGAAGCACACACCCACAAACAGCATGGATCTATGTGGTTACTAGAGTGGACCCAAGCAGATTCTGAGCCAATGCAAATCAGAGCAATATGGTACAAAAATATACCACCAACTGCTGATAGTGTACTGTACAATAAAAAACTATTTGTCCCACTTTGTCCCTGTTGATAACAATTTCAGCCTTGCACTATGTGAGCACCAGGCAAAGTTCAGATATCATGGGCTCAAAGAAGGTTGAACAAATGCTCAGCGTAGAAGAGGCCAGGCACAGAGAGTGAAACCTGGAAGGTGGCAGAGCGGGAAATGTTCAAAACAAATCTCACCTGTCAAAAGCAGCTCCACAGGGTCACTTGGCACTGACCAGATAAATTCATTTGTTATGGAATAGTGGCAGGTGTAATTTCCTTCATCTTCTGATGTCACCCTGGATATATGGAACTTGGTAGAATTTTTGCCTAATCCTGTTTTCTTTGATACTGTCGCTTTGTTTGATTTGAGCAAGACGAAGGTCAGATCATTCCGTGGTCCCTGACACTCAATGGTGACATTTGAATCTGGAGAAATCTCCTCACTTGGCATCATTTGGATGAAAGGTTTGCTGGTCCAGTAACCTGGTGTTAAGAAAACAATACGAAGAGGAAAGTAGTAAGGAAAGCAAGTAATCATGTTTCTGATTTGTGACTCACAATTTACACATTCCACTGATTCTCAGTAGGTGCTGTTCGGAAGTTTCCTTTCTAAATACAAACCGGGAATGGAGTAGAGTCATAGAGTACTCAGAAGTACCATTCCTTTCTTCTGGGTATGTTCTGGGATTGTATCGTCAGCCCTCGACCACAGAAACTGACTGTTCTCTTAAAGACCTAATGCAGAATCACACTCTCCACATCTGGCCTTATTCTGAGGTACTCAGTTCACTCATTAATCCAGCTGGCACTTGCTGGCCGTAAAATGACATCAAAATAACACATTTGATATGAATGTGTACCCCTAGGTGCTCTGAGATGTTTGTTCATGATTGCTATCACCTAAATCTTGCTGATTGGATTATTTAGTGTGGTTTGTTCCAGCTGTTTGTACAGCTCTACATTTCAGCTAGTTTAATTGTCATAAAGGTGAAGAATTGGAGTTTTAAAGATATTAGGCATGTGAGCATGTTGGGGAGAGGGGAGAACAGCAAGACTTTCAAGGTGTGATGCCTTTTCTACTTTTCTGTCTCGTTTGCACAGCAATGGAAGAATCTGGCAAAGAGCAGTATTTCTTCAAAGGCTGGGGTAGCTCAGTGTATTGGAGCACCTGGCTGTGGAGCCAGAGTCTAGGAGTCTCAATCTTCACAATACTTTTGGGAAAGGGATCAACTGAGATCATCCAGTACATTTGTAGTTGCTAGAGTTACTGTATATGCCCTACTTTATGTGTGTGGGCTTGGACCAACCGCACTGTCTCACACTCTCACTAGAATGAGAGACTGGGAAACTGCTTCTGAATACTTTATACTCAGAAATCTGTATGACTGGCATAATTTGGAATCAATAGCACATTATTATCACCAATGTCTTCTTAGAGCCTGGATTTATTGGTGTGTGTATGTTAAGCAGGCGCTTAGATGTTGTACTACATTTTAAATTCACTCCTAGATACATACAAGGGTCACCACATAAACAAGGGGTTGAAGCTGTTGACCAAAATGTACTTATCTCTTCCTTGTCTATTTTATTAGTTAATTCTCTAAAGAAAGTTTTTACTGGTATTGAATGTCTTGAAAAATAATTATTTTAATCAAATGTCAAATTACTGTACTGAGGAACGGTATATCATCACAGCTAACCCTCATGTAATGCAAAGGAAGCGAGAGTGTTTTCCGCTTAAATGAGTATTTAAATCCATTAAACTTACAAAAAACCTGTTCTCCATTTGTTAATATGAACTGATGCAGCTGTCTGAATTTTTGAACTCTTCTGAGAAGGTAGCTCCAAGGATCATTAGAATACATCATCTCAGGTGCATAGTTGGAAAGGACCTTATAGATCATCTAGTCCTGATTGAACACCTGAACTTCAAAATCTATTACTACATTGCTGAATTTTCCTATAGACACATGGAGGGGGGGCATACTGATTTTTTTTGTTTTTGTTTAATAGCTTGTATGGAGTACAGATCACAGTTCAGATTTCACTAGGGAGCATGGAGTGGTAAAAGGGTGGGTAACAGGTGCTTTTCTAGTTTGATTGTAGCCTAACAGGCAACACCTGTAGAAAGACACTTTTAACATAAGAAGATGAAAATAAATGACAAAAGAGAGAGAGAGAGAGATTTTAACAGTTGTCAGTATCCTGGTCATGGCAGCATAATAAGTTATTCCAGTGTAAATGTGCCAAACGTTATGCCCAGCAACAAGGAATTGCTCTGTGGAATTGTGCAATCCGTTGCGCATCCCTGGCACAAGCGATTATGCAAGGTGTCAGTGGAAGTGCTTTGGTGATAGCATAGTGACACAATAGGATTTTGGCCATTGTTGTAACGACATGTTATTTCCAATCTTTTGGCTTTTCTAAATCAATATGGCCCTTTCCCTGGTTCCCATGTGCTGGGCAGGGATTACCCAATTACATCCCACTCTTGGTTAGTCCTAAGAAATAGGAGCAAAGAATGAGCGATAGTAGTGGGTCAGTGTTGCCCCTAGCGTTTTATTACCTGAAATGACTGTTTTAGTTAGACTTATGGTCAAGCTAGCCCTCGTCAACAGATGATGGAGCTCCCTTGACAGAAATCTAAGCTATGCAAATTGCAAATGAGTTTTCTTTTATAATTGGTCATTGGGAGTTATGTCCAAGCTTTCTTTGCATATTGAAAGCTCAGATATGGGAATATTGAAGAAATACTTCTTGGGGGGGGGTATGTTTTATTTCCTCTCTACTGAAAAATGAGTATCTTGTCTGTTTTTGCCCTGAGCTTGCCAAATAAATGGATTTCTCTGGTGAAACTAGCAAATGTGAATTTCTTGCATCTCAACCACACCATGAGGAAATGGAATGGCTGCCAATCTAGCTGATCGCACCCACTGTAAGGCTACCTCCACTGCCACTAGAATGTGAAAAGTGGGATTTAGCAGTAGGTAAAACAGTGTAAAGTAAATCAGAGAGTCATATCATTTTTTATTAACATATGTATCTTGCTTAATCCAAAGAGAGGTAGCATGGATTCTATATCACTGGAGAATGTTGCAAGGAAATTGAAGCATGCCACAGATTAAGAAAAAGACTTCTTGGACTGCTATGATTTTCTATTTTTGAAGGCTTTCATGGCTGGGATCTGATGGTTGTTGTCGGTTTTCTGGGCTGTTTGGCATTGTTCTTAAGGTTTTTCTTCCTAACGTTTTGCCAGTCTCTGTGGCTGGTATCTTCAGAAGACAGGATCAGAACCCATAACAACCATTTTCTATTTTATTTGAAGAAGTAGATGACTTAAATTTTGTGTTTTGGACTACTTTCTAGTCAATCAGGTTTGATCCATTTCCCCATGACTAAATGACATACGGGTAATTATGAATCAGGCTGACTCTCTTTCACAGCTATCTGTACCTTTTTAAATCACTCACAAGGGCTGCTCATTTTGGAGTTTTTTGTTAGTTGTTTTGACATGGGTAGGATCACTCTGTTTTACTTTGGCTTCTGGACTGCTTTCCTCTCCTCCCTTCAAGACAGGAGAATATCTAAAGGATTATCTTTTCTTTTTCTTTACACATCAGTGCTATGTCACTTACAAGCCAATGAAGTGACGAGTTGTTTTTTTATATATTTTTCTTAACTGCCTGCTTTCCCTTGCTTCCTGAGGGGATGACATGAGAGGACATGGAGGGTCATCATATATTTTTCTTTGCAGTCTCGTGCTACGTCATTAGAAAACAGCAACCACCACAACCTAGGTTTCCCCTGCTTCTACATGGGGGAAAACCAAAGATGAGGCAGAAAGGAATCTTCCCCCTCCCACTTTTACAATCCAGAATTGTGTCACTTTGGTGGCAAGCCAATGAAGTGAAGTGTCTAAATAAATAAATAAATAAATAAATAAATAAATAAATAAATAAATAAATTCACACACCTCACACAACGCAATGAAGGCAGAGACAGCAAAGGGTGTGGGGAATAAGGTTATTTTGCTGAATAAGGTTATTTTGAGGTACCAGGCGGTTTCATGTCCCAAAACCACCCGATTCTTCTGTGTGGATGCAAGTCTCATTCTCAAGGTCTGACTACACTTTCAAGTCACCCTGTCTACTCTGATCCAGCCAAGAACATTCCCCCCCCATTATACCCTTCATCCATCAAAAGAATAAAAATATGTTCTCACCTGTTAAATTGATAGACACTCTGTCACTGTAGTTTGAGCATCTTTGATAGAAGGCTGACTCTGATTTGAGGCAGTATCTACACCAGTAGATGCCTGCACCTGAAGAGTCAACTGTAACAATGGGAAACTGGATCTCACCCATTTTTATCATCATGGTCCCATAGGTATTGAAATATGTCCGTTTTTGGAGCGTGAACTCTGCATTTTGGAGCCCTTCACTCTTACAGTAGATTGTGACTCTTTCTCCTAGAGTGACCACCTCACTAGGGCTCACAGAGATGGAAGGCTTCTGATAAACCAGTTCTGAAAGAGAATGAGAAAAGTGAAGTATAAGAGTGGGTGTCTGCACAACGCTGGGGCTCAATAAAGTGAACAACTTCTACAAACTGTTGGGAACTGGACTGCACAGATCCACCAGGCGATGATTCATTCAAAGCTTTTGGGTATCTTGTATAATCTACTCTTGCACCATGATATCCCTGCAGGCATCGTACTTTGCTTCATGAATTAAAAAAAATCTCCCCAATGCATGGAACCATGTCAAGTGACAAAATTATTACAATTCAAAATACATCTTGTTTAGCACAGAAGCTAGTAAATAATACATACTGTATTAACAATGGCCAATGAAGAATACATTAACTAGGTTATGGCTATATTTTTAAAGGAAATACAGAGATTGGCACAATGTCTTCAGTAATTCCATTCTGCAGCAATAGATTGCACAAGTTACATTTTCTATATAATTTCCCAGAGGATTCCTAAGGAACCTACTTTTCTGATTTGCCATAGTTTATACAATATTGAATGGCCAGCTCTTTTGTCCACCATGAAGCAGATTGCATGCCCTCTCTAGGCATGGCTGCGTAGAGCAGTTTTTGGATGGTTCTCATGCATTTTCACAGAAAGTTTGGGGAGGCTGAGATTTAGCACTAGGACATATCCAACACAAGGTGTGGGACTCTAAATTGTGCTGCCCCATGTATATTTTACAGTGAAACCAGCTACACACAATATATTTTGTTTGGAACAACATTCTATCATGATCACTGCGTGAAGAGCAAGATGGAATCTCTTGAAATTGACAATACTGTACATTAGTTTCCCATTTGGTTTGTGGCTGCAAATGTTTTCTACTGCCTAATAACAAACCAAGCCCTAAAGACCTTAGTGATAATCTACCACTGAGAAGTTTGGAGTAGAAGGAAGCACCTTCACTTTTGGAGAAAGGCCTGTATCACCTGATCTTGTAAGCTGCCCAGAGTAGATTCGTTGAATCTACATGGGTGGGGTAAAAGCCGGAAAAATAAATAAAATAAATAAATAAATCTTGGGGCCGGTAACCAGAGGATAATTCTTAGAATAATATGGTTAGGCACCTGTAAAAGGTACTCTTTGCTCCTCTGTGTTTCAGTACATGATAATAAATAAGTTTGAAGATATTAAGTTGCTCAGCAGTTTCACATATGGAAAAGCAACAAAAATCTGACCTCTGCTTTAACATCGTATGTGACTCATAAGGACTGAGCTGAGGCCTCACCTGTTATGGTTATAGAAATGTGGTCACTCCAAGGTGAGCATCTTCTTGAGCTAAAGCAATACTGACAACTGTACTTCCCCGCATGTGCTTCTTGGGCACTCGGAATGGTAAATATGCCTCTATTCACTGCAATTGCATTCATAATCCAACGTTGCTGATTCTCTTCGTGCCATAGTTGGAAAGTTTGTTGTGAGTTTGGATATGGACTGTCACAGTAGATAGACAATTGTTCTCCAAGGAAGATTTCATGACTGGGGATCATGGAGATGGAAGGCTTGGGATACTGCCCTGGACAAGAGAACAGGGATGAGATTTAGGAGGTGGAGCAAGTGCAGCAGCTGCATTCTCTAAAAAAGGGGTCTCAAACATGTGGCCTGGGGGCCATTTGCGGCCCGCCGGATGATAATTTGCGGCCCCCGCCTTGCCTGCCCCCCTGAAGCGCCCACGCGTCTTCTGCTATCAAGAGTTTAAAAAAGCCTCACCTTGCTCACCGGCTCTCCCCCAAGACAGCGCCTCTTGCACCCTGCAGGCTGCAGTTCTGGATGGAGGGTGCAAGAGTCGCTGTCTTGGGGGAGGGCCGGCAAGCGAGGTGCGCTGCCGGCCTTTTCCCCGAACGCCCAAGCCACCACCAAGTGATGCCTGAGAGTGGAGCTTGCTCCCAGCCCGTCCTCAAAGAGCGCCTCCAATAGCACTGCCAACAGCAGCTGCCGCTGCCACCTCTTCCAGGGAAGTAGCTCTCTGGCTCTCTTTCTCTCTCGGCATCCCCAGCACCCGCTCGGCCAGCGGCCGTGATTCCTCCTCCTCCTCCTCTTCGTCCTGCTTCAGCCGCCTCAGCTCTGGAGACTGCATGGGCTCGCCTCGCAAAATTTGCTCCCCTGTCATGGTGGGGGTAGCTGCTGCTGCTGAGTGTGCCTTTTTTGAGTGGGGCCTTCAGAGGAAGGTTGCCGGACCTCCGTGTGTGTTTGTGTGCATGTGCGCGCGTACCTGTGGGGGCCCCTGCCCCATCCTGTTTAATTTCTCAGGTACCGATGGGGGCCTTTCTCCTTTCGCAAGGCTATTCTCTGAGGTTTTTTTAAAATTTTATGTCATGTCCTCCTCACCCCCTCCCTGGCTAGGCCCGCAAGGCTATTCTCTGAGGTTTTTTTAAATTTTATGTCATGTCCTCCTCCCCCCCTCCCTGGCTAGGCAGTCACCAGTGCTCCCTCCCTTCTCCACTTCTTCATCCTGCTGGTGGTGGTGGTAGTTGAAGAAGGAGCCGGAGGGGGTCGTGGTTGCCGAGGAGGGCTCTTGAGCCCCTCCTCCTCCTTGAATCCCCAGCCAGGGTAAGGAAATGGCGCGCCCCTCCTCCTCCTCCTCCTCCTTGAATCCCCAGCCGGGGTAAGGAAATTCCTGGGCGGCTTCCTCGGGCTCTTGCTCTGCTTGACGGAATGATGTGGCCCAGCCTCTGCCTCTAGCAGAGGTAAATTAAGTTTGAGACCCCTGCTCTAAAACATCAACTCATGGCATGCTCTTTGGGAACACATTATACCAGGCCATGGAGGACCTTTGGCTCTCCCAATGTTTGAATGACAATAACCCTGGGAGGTGTAATATAAAGGTCAAGATGGCTCAAGTTTCCCTACTCCTGTAAGGAACCAAATTTATATTGGAGAATGAATGACTCAGGCACGTGAGAAACCAGTTCGTATAAAACATATTAGCTGAGCAACTATCACGATGCACCAATCACCTTCAAGAAAATTGGAATGGTCAACACAGTGTGCTTCACCATTTGGAAATAAATTGCACCCACATTTTTTGTTCCAAGAAAATCAGGAACAAGTGCATACCAGAGAAATACATTGAAGCAGGCAAGATGATAGAAAGCCTAGTTCTAACCAATTTAGGTGGAGATGCAAGGAATCCTGACTGCCCCCTCTATGTTTTCAGAACAAAGGTAAGATGTTTTCTTTGCTCTCTCTCCGAAATGGTCAAGAAAAAAGGAAAGAAGTAAGGAAGTGATTTCAGTATATCAGGGCGTGGTCACTGTTATCCCCGTTTAGTCCACCGTGGGGACAGGCTAGTTTGTTCCTTTTTCCCAGTAACCACATGACGTATGGGCTGTCCCTTGTCCATTCCTACCCACATGTTTTTGAGCCCCTGTCATGAACTGCCTTGGTTTGGTTGTGGCAGGTGTTATCACTGGGATGAAAGGAAAGTGAATGCTAGCTGTCAGTTTGCTTTGCCTCTATAGGATCTAACCAGTCATGAACAAATTAAAAGCTTCCTCCTGCTCCTCTGCAGAAGGAGAGACAGAAGATCTAAAGGGTTTAAAAAAAAAAAAGCTCTTTTAGCCCAGCAGTGATTTGGTTGCTTGGGAAGCCAATCAGCACTAGGCAGAGATAAGGAAGGTAGACAAGGTTATGTCCCTGTGTTCTCACCCAGAACTAAGAAATATTAGTTTTGGGGCCATAAAAGTCATCATGTTGGCCGGCTGGGTTCCAGCAGTTGTGGCCCAAAACAGCGGCTTTTCCATCTCTACCCATACCCATCACCTTAAATTTTTATACTTGTTTGCCTCCTGACACTTACCTCTAGATAATGTCCACTGCTTGGCCAGCCAACCTGGAAGGCAGAAGATTTGATTAGCAGTAAAGTAATTACAGAACAGGAACCAAAGCTGGTCTCTGGTCTTCTTGACACATATTTTAGTTGACACATATTTTAGTTCTATTCTCATTCACAGAGTGATACCAACCAAGAAAGAGGATGATGAAAGGGAGCCTCATGGTGAGGATTCTTTAGCTGACAGTGTTCGGTTTGCTTCTGGCTCTGCTATGTCCTCTGAAAGATCTCCACCGAGTGGACCAGGTCCTGAAATTGAGGAACATTCTTGATGCAGCCGTCCTCCAGAATACAGTTTCCCCCTCTGTGATCTGGAAGTCCCATCGACCAGAAATGTTGCCCTAACATTGCTTGGCCAACCACAGTTAAAAATTGCAAAAGAAGAGGAAATGAGAAGCACATGAAATCCACAGTAGTTCAAAACAGGCGACTTCTCAAATAGAGGGTTCCTTAATTGTGATCTTGGAGTTCATGGTATCTGGAACCTCAAAAACTAGGCAGAATACCTCTTGAATATCTCTGTTTCTGCTCCAACCAGTTGTACCTCTTAACAAAAACATCCTTTGCTATTTGAATGTTGAGTCATGTCAGCTGAACTTCTCCCTTATTAAGTTGAAACATTTTGCTTCTCATCCAAGTAGCTTCTTCAGTCTGAGGAGAGTTGGTAGGAGGTTCCTGATATACCCTCCCTGTTAATTTCACTTCCCCATGTCTGAATAGGCTTGTTAGATGGACAATGGACGGGGGGTGTGTGAGTGAAAATCCTACCTCTGCAGTCCTTCTCCACCTATTGTCATAGGTCGTTAATGGTCGTTAAGAGTGGTCTTTCTGGTGGGTGTGGTCCTGATCTTTGTGGGGATGGATGAAAGGGCAGCATGATAAATGGGAGGCAGGTGTCTAAAGCCTCCACCCTTGTAGAGTGAGGGATTTTCTATAGGCACATGTATGGTCTCCCTGGCCCCTCTCTCAAACCGCCCATCTTCTGGGTCCAAAATGAATACATCATGCTCATCACATGAGTCTCATTTTTCCTTCAAATGAAGGAACACTGCTGATTGTGGTCCTGAGCCATTGCCCCTCCTGTGCTGGGCCATTCTCCTGTTTAGGGGCCGTTTGGTTTCTCCAACGTAGAGCTCTCAACACTCCTCTTTGCATTGAACCACATATACTTTATTGCTCCTGTTGTGTTTTGGTGTCCGATCTTTTGGGTGGACGAGTCTCTGCCTTAGGGTATTCGTGGGTTTGAAGTGAACAGATATGTGATGTTTACCAAAAATCCTTTTGATCTTTTCAGACACATTCGTCATGTAAGGAATGACCTGGTTCTTCTGCTGGCTCTTGGTCTCAGACTGTTCCATTGTCCTGCTGGGTTGGGACATTATCTTTGTTAAAGGCCCATTTTAAGGGCTGTCTTCGGATTTCTATGTTCCTTCTTCTTGGCTTCTGTGGAGGTGGGGATGTTTCTTGCTCTGTGGTTTAGCGTCCTGATGACCCCTAGTTTGTGTTTCAATGTCCCTCTTCCTTTGCCTTTCTATGCTCACCAAAGCCTGAGAGGAGCGATCCCCACCCTTTGCAAAGACAGTGGGTTGGTTGCTTGAGTCCTACTTCCCTTGTCTTTCTGTGCCTTGCCAGGCAGAGATAGAAAGGGGAAGCCTTTCCAAGCGATCCCCCACCCTGCTGCCTTTGCTAAGAAAACAGGATGAGGGATTGCTTTGGTCCCACTTCTCTTCTATTTCTATGCACTCCAAGAAATAGAAAGATGGAGGAAACCTGACTGAAGCGGTCCCCATCCCTCTGTCTCACAGGAGGAGAAATGGCCTCAGTCAGTCTTCCCCAGTGCTCCTAGAAAAGGCTAGGCTGCTGGAATTGAAACCACAGTTCCAGCAGCCTAGCTTCTGTTTCAGTGTAAGCTGCTGCGGAGCAGGAGGAGCAGCCTGGCCAGGGAAGTAACAGTGGGAAGGGGTGGGGGCGGGGGGGCCTCTTCTTTTTCTAGATAGCTCTATAGGCTGTCTATAAAAAAAAGTCCTGATGAACCACTGGGAGGTAGTTCTTGCTCCGTGAATCGTCAAGGTTGATGACCCATGAACCAAGAGGTAGCACCATCATGCTGCCCTTTCATCAATCCCGTGAAAGATCAAGACCATATTCACCAGAAAGACCACTGTTAGCGACTGTTAACTTTCAATTTTCACTTTCCTGCATTTAAATTGTTGACCATCTTCTTAGCCCCATGAATGCTAAATGAAATATAAAGGATTTATAGGGCTGTTGCTGTGTTCTAAGGATCAACAGTGGCTCCTTTTTCTGCTTTGTGGTCAGCTAAAATCACACAAGTACACTTCTTTTGATACATTTCTGCACATTTTTGAAAGATAGTGCACATCCCTACTTAGAAATGAGTTCTTACAGAATTTTTCTGTTCCTCAACCTAGCACTATTTATTTGCATCAGGAAAGTTGCAAAAATGTAGGGACAGATATTTTCAGTAGTTAGAATTCCCAAGTGCACTGCAAGCTTACTTCTGTGGAATTCAGACAGCTTCTCACCTAATGGTGTGTTCTATGTTCTGTGCTCAAAGCTGGCCTTTTAGCTCATTTTGTCATCTCTGTAACTATTGTTGATAAACTGAAGTAGGACAGAAAGCCTTCTAGATTATATTTGGAACTAGGAATACTGAAGGGGGTAGTTTTGTTTGTTTAGTTCTCTCTCCAGCTGCATCCTCCAAACATAAATGTTTGAATAGATTTTCAGCAAAGACAAGACCCGAGGCAGAAAACTCAAATGGTTCTCCCAGGGTAGGGTAGTGGTAAAAGTTCCCTTTTCATGATGCCCCCTGCAAATTGCCTCTTTACCCAATGGTTTGCCTTCATACGAAAGTTCTTGGTAACTAGAGGCTTCGTTAGGAAGAAGAGGATGCCTTTTGCTTTCCACGAATGATAAATAGAGACCTTTCTATTTCTTCAGAAAGAAGAATTTTTTCAAAGGCTTGGCATATGATTTGAATTGCTCCTCCTCTTCCTCATCAAGGAGATAACCCAAATAGTGATTTTCCTCTGTACAGTAATAATATTGCCCCTTACATTTTATTTTAGGTCCTATTGATTAAATGTCTTGCTTATGAACAGGACGTCTTGGTGATATATCAAATGCTATGATTCTAAGAGACCTATCTTGCTACATACTTAGGTTTAGCACTCGTCTTTCAAGAATAATCTGGTACCCATGAATGTCAATAGATCAGTGAAGTTTTAAGCACATATTTACCTTCTGCATCTCCCTTACTTGCCAATATCACTAGATGGATAACACTCCATCCTGTCATAAAAATGTCCCCCTTGTGGATATCAGGTCTATTTGCAGTGAATTTAACTTGAGAATCCATGGAAGCTGATTGGAGGAGAAGAAAGAAGGTCCC